TCAAAAATAAAGTGTTAACAGTCGATGAAGGAAGAATGAGTACGACGATATTACGCTTTGATACGACGCATGCGAGTGAATTGCATTTTTGATTAATTTTTATAGTGTTTATATCAGTATTATTATATTTACAATATTTGCAAAAATACTAGTTTGTTGTTAGATTTTTTTACTTAGGTGCTCCTTTAGAAAATATTTGGTAAGTATAGATTTTATTCATTATAATTTAATAACACGCTAAAACATTATAGGACTACGATAAACAATTGAATTATATATTTTTTTTTCATTGCCGTTTGTTTGAGCGATCTTAATCAGAACCTGTGTCGGAGCATACGTACTTTGGTGTTTTGCAGGTAGCTACTGATTACAGTTGACGTTTACATTAAAATAATTTACATCTTTACATCTATTTTAACTTAACATCTATTTTAACTAAGAGCTTCCTTCTTTTCAAAAAAGTATTTACTAAATTTTTCATTTATTATTATTATTTATTATATATTAGTTTATTTGGGGATATGATTACAGAACTAAAATAAAGAACGTACAAGGGCCCCCTTAGAAGTGCAAGATGTCTTTTCAATAAATTATCTACTGAACTAAAAATATTGACAAATTTAAAACTGAATTAAAAAACTATATCAAAGATAAACAATTAACCTTTTTAATTAAATATGACTTGTAAAATTAATTTCTTATAATATTATTATTAATAAATAAAAAATCACTCATATCTATCACGTCCCTCTTGACTAATTCAAAATACTTTTAGTTATAGTTATAGGTTTGTATAATAGTATGTTCTAAAACTGATACCAGTAATTGGTAAACCTAAGATTAATTAATAACAAATAATATTTGTTTGAGTCAGCGTTTCTTTAGGAAATTAAATAAGAAATACGGTCGGTTGTCCAAATAGAGAGGGATCTTATATTATTTTTCGGGCATATAAAAAATTTAATGTATAGTTTTTTTGCTTAATACTGAACTCTAAAATAATTCATATTTATTTTAAAAATAACATTAATTTTTGCTCATAAATACTAAATACGAAATTTTTGTTGAGCTTGGCTATTTTAGCAAAAGGTTATTTTATTTAATCAGTAATACATCATTAAGAACTTTAATAATCATATTGCATATGCAGTATAATTTGCAATAATAATGATTGTTGAATATCTGATAAATAAAATGTTAGTACTTTAAATGATTATATTATATATATATACATATATAATATAAATGTGTGTTTTTAAAGCTTTAATTACGTATGTTTCCACCTATATAACCTGCGTGTTAAATCATTTCATTGAAAAAATAGCAATAACAAAAAATACGTGTTTTGAAGACTACGCATTTCATATAATAGTTTAAAAAATCATAACGACAAGCTCTACATAAATTACATGTCTTTTACTTTTATAACAACAAGATTACTCTGAATTACCTTGATTATTCTGCAATTATTTTATATAACATTTATTTATAATTATATATTGTTCTCTGTCATAGAAATAATGTTAATGGATTCTGAACACACACATATGTTAATTCTTCTCAGAAGATTTTGAATATATATTTGCTTGTGGAATTTGTTTAAAATAAATGACGCCTTTGAAATTCCATTCTTAATTGTTAAATATTTTGCTCATTTATTAAACACTGAGAATGATCTTGAAAAATGATTTCGATTAGTTTGATATTTTTTTTCTTCTGTATTTAATATAATAAATATTGGATATTTACTACTGAAAACAAATTAAAGGATAAAAAACATCTAGATAAAAAACAAAGTGGTATTTGAATTTAATACAAAGATATTTGATATCAGTTTGATTTCTTCTCAGTGGATCAAACACACAAATTATTTAAAATAACTAAAAAACAACTCACAATGAACAAACACTTAATTAACATTTATATAGGAAAAACAAAAATATAATTTTAAATTTATTTATTTATTAAAAAAATAATTTATATTAAGAATAATCAACAATCATGTTAAATTGAAAGATAGTTGTTATTTTTTTGATTTTACTCATCTGATTATCAAAGTGGTTCACATGGACTCGGGGGGTCCAAGTAAGCCAAAAAAAAATTCGGGGTCCACGAAATGAAAATAGGGGTCATAATTCACCACGTTAATAACTATTTACTATATCTATAATAAAAATCATAAGACTGGACATCATCAGCCACCATATGTAAAATTATCCCTTTCCACTCGGATGCCGCCACTCCGGTGGCAAAATACATATAAATCTTGGAAATCGTGAGTGGGTTAAGTCTTACAAAGTTTTTAATAAATTGTTGATAATTAACCAACATTTACTTTTTGCTTATTAACTTCCCGAAGGAGAAGTTTGTTTTTTCATTTTTTTATTATTTCAAATTTAATTAATAAATCTATAAAAGTAACGTGTATTTTTACATTAAATATTTAATAATAAACTTTAGTACAGTTAAATTTATAAAAATAATCGATACTGGGTAAAGTAGTGGTAAAGAACCCCTTGGTAAGACCAAGGGGTGCGCGGCACAAAAAAGTTTGAGAGCCTATGATATGATGATATATAGATTTGAGTAAATACATCTCTAAATGAAAATAATTAATTAAACTCAAGGAATTCAAATCAATTCTAAATATAATAATAGATAATGAAATATGTAAATATAAATAAATTTTTTACTCTTTAGACATAATAGTCCCGTTAAGGTGACAATATTAGCAGCGCGCAATAAAGTGAGGACAGTTTAAATATAAATCACATGAAATTAACTAATTATCTATGTTTCCAAATATTTAAACAGTGGATGGTTCTGTTTTTAGTTAACTGTGCAATCTCTATTTATTATTCACTCTGGCTAAATGGGTCTGATTCGGATGTGATTCTATTGTGTCCACCAGCTCGGCCATGGCGAGGAATCGTAGAGATGTCATTGTTACCTTATTATGTGGACTGATTGCCACTTGCGTGCAGGATACTCACAGTTTTGGTAAGCAAAAAATATATAATAGAAATATATAATATTGAATCTGGTCGAACTTGCTATACAAACGTATCACCATAGATAAATAAACATATCACTTCGTTGCATTAAGGAGTAACTCAGGGTATGTCCATTAATCACGTGATCGATTTTTTAAGGATTTTTGGACTTCCCTACCTCTCGGTGATACGTGGTTATATTCAAAATTACCTCTTCCCCAACAAACATCACGTGTATTTTTAGTTACGAGAAAA